CTACTACTACTACTACTAGTACTCAACTATACTACTATTCGACTATACTACTTTACCATACCATACTATACTATGCTATACCCTACTGTACTAGACCATACTATCTTACCGCACTGTGCTCTGCTATACCTATCCCATCCTGCCCTATAGTACACTATAGTGTGCTATACTATACTATTACTGTTACTATTACTATTACTGGTGCTAGCACTATTGCTAGTACTGCTACATGTTGTACTCATAGACGAACGGTCTTTCATGCTGTTGGCAGGAGAGCATGCCGGCCTTTGCATGGACGAGGCAAGCCTCCTTGGGAGCTGAAGAGAAAAGATTAGGGTTTAGGGTTTAGGGTTTAGGGTCTAGGGATTTTCGAGTGCTTGGATCCATGTAGGCTGCGGAATGACGGCCAGATTTCCGTCTCGCCCCGTGCCGGGCACACGATAACACCCACTGCGGTGGGGTTTCTGCTGTCAGGAGCTCAATTTGAAGCCCACTCAGCGAGCTCGAGCGTTGTGTGCCCATGTGAGTCATGTCAGCGCCTTTCAGGTATGGCGGCATGGACGGACGGAGGAACGATCAAGGCAACCCAGCTCCAAATAGCGATTTGTTTGTCCGGAGCTCAGACTAAGCTCGCCTATGCAGCCGGGAGCGTTTGCTCGCCGAGTTGCTGAAACCTGGACAGCCTGGAGAAGCTTCCTATAAATGGGAGGCAAATCTGTGACCGACATCAAAGCTCGCTCTGGTGGCACAGTGCTAGGTGGTGGAGATCGACCCCGGGTCGCAGCTGCCGCCAGTGCGAACATTACACACCGCTCCTCACTCAGTCGGACATGTGACAAGGAACCCAGCGCCCTGCCAAGAGTCAAGACTGAATGTAGGGGCTGTATGGTGCATTAGACTAGCACCCCCCCCCAAAGTACTACGGTAATTATTTTAGGCTCCCATGTTATCCACCCGCCACGGAGGCGATTTCGATCAGCCAGGACGAGGTGTTTCTCTTTGGCGGCATCCACTCCACAACACCTTACCAGGTGCAGCTCTTGCAAACCTGGTAGCTCGTTTTGAGGGTTCAGTGCCACGATCCGCGAAGCCACAAGCCAGGCCCAGGATATCCTAGCTAAATAAGGCAGCTAGCACGGAATGCTGTATATAAGAACTCAAAAGGCGGCTCCAGAGAAGCCCTTCAGAGTTTCTTCGACAACATAACAAAAGGTTCTCAGTAAATTAGTTTAGGGTTCCGGGCGATAAACAGCGCTCTCCTCTCTAAAGCCCTCCCCGAACCCTTCGAACTTGGCTCTGGCTCAAGAGTCCCGCAAAGCCCTCGCCGTGGCACAAAGCTTTCGATGCACGCCCCGGCCCAAGCAAGTGAGGGGGCGTGGGTTTCAGGGTTTCAGGGGTTTTTGCTAAGCAAGTTCGGCATAGAAATCAGGAGACTGGTCAGAAAATGATACCCCAGGTTGGAAGCAGTCGACACAAAGATGGTCGACATCTCCTTGCAGGCTAATATAGTGAAGCTGGTGAGACCGCCCCTTCCCGTGGGATCGGCATGCAGTCTCGCAGGCTGTCGATGGTGACTCGCTGCCAAAGGACCCTCTAAGTGTCCACGAAATTGGTTTGATGTAGCGTGACTTTGGACTCGCACAGGATCTCTTCCTGTCGCTGAGAGTGGGCGAGCAGCAGAAGTTCTCGAAGGATTCGCTGAATGTATACTCTTGCGTACCCTATGCTGCAGACTAGCTAGCACAAATCCCCTTTCCTCTTCCTTCCTCTGGTATGCGATGATAGTTTGCCCTTCTTTGCTGACTCGCTACATCATGAAGAGAGATGCAAGCAGGCCAACTGTTCGCGAACCTACAAGTTCCCATCGTCCGCTGACCGACGCTACGTGGCAGACTCGGAAGAGTTTTCCTTTGTGTGTGTGTGTTCACGCTGCACGGTGGAATGACTGAATGTAGAACTCAAGGGCAAGCTCGAGCTGTACCGACGCGTTGGGGTGACAGCCTCAGATGCGGCAGATGCTTTGGGGGAGTGGGCATTCTTCTGCGCAGGTCTCATCCGTGAGCCTTGATGGCGAAAGTTTCCAGGACACGGCTTCCGTCTGTAGAGCCCTGGGATCGAAGCGCTCCTTGCTCGGAGGGCGCTCACGAGATGGCCATCCAAGTGGAGGAGAAAGCCAGACAAGACTGCGTTTTTTGCTGCGTTGTTACTACCGTGGTGCTACAGTTGTGCTGTCGGGCCTGTAGGGTTCCACAGTCTGTTAATGCGGTTCTCTACCGTGCTTTGTCGCGAGATCTTGCAGTGTCTCTGGCAAGGACGAGCGGATCCCGAACAAGGAGGCGCTGATTGCCTGTTGAAGCATTTCAATGCTCGGTCCTTGTTGCCGGAGGGGCAAATCTACTCTTCTTGGAGTAAGGTGAAATATCGCCTCTGCCTGGGTGGCTCTGCAAGCCTTCCTTCGCCGACGAACGAGGTGCAACACACTATCACAGGTCAGTAGTCGTTCCTCACCATTCTTTACTACTGGCAGGCACTATCGTTCTATGAGATTATAAAGTCTTGCGAGCACGTAAGCTTTGTTTCACGCCAAGTGACAGGGGGTGATAGTGCCTCATTGTGCCCCGATTTTGCAGGCGGCCAAGGCCCAGCCCGACCCTGCTAAACAGACGTCGACGAAGGAGACGAAGGCCCATTCGGAATCTCACATGAAAGTCAATCCTTTGCAGCTCTTTCGTCCCCTCTATCCCGGGCCCTACGGTGACAAGGTAGTGCAGGCCCGCGAGTACCTCCAGCAGCACCAGCCTGCATCTCACAACCTTGATTGGGATCTGCACCTGCTTCCCGCCTGACGCCCGCATGTTGTGGACATCATTGCAGCAGCGCGTTGATAAGGCTAGAGCAGCGCCTGTCTGAAGCAATGCAGGCGGACGGGTGCTCAGCTCGTGGTAAATCTTCAATATTCTTCCATACCGTACTGGGGAGAGCCCAAGCAGACCTTGCAAGGTTCTGCGTGAGCGGCCGGAGGACCGCCTTCTTTCATGGCCAGGCTGGGAGGGCAAGTCCTTCGCGCAGAATCCCAGGACCCTGCGGCGTTCATTGCGCAGAAGCTGCAGTCCAAAGCTGGAGTTCTGAAGAAGGTACTGCGGCGAAAAGTTTTGATCGGACATTCAAAACAGTGATCAAACATTCAAGACAGGAATGCTGACCCCTGAGGTGGAGGAGCCGGTGAGCGTGCCCATGACCGCGCCTGAACCTCCACAGCTGGAGCCGAAAGCGCAGCCGCCTGCGAAACAGGAGCATGAGGCAGCCGCCGTGACTCGCCTTGCAAGACGAGTCCTTTGAACATCCTTGAACACATGAGACATCCTGAAATTCTTCTGAGGTCTGCACTCTTCTGCACTCCTGCTCTCAGGCACCGGCGGCCGCGGCACCTGCTTCCACCCCAGCTCCGGCCGCGCCAGTTCCGGCCCCAGCCCCAGCGGAGCCCAAGGCTGCAAAGGCTCCGGTGCAGGCTCCAAAGGCCCAGGCCAAGGAGCCAGCTGCACCGGCACCGAAGCCAGCCGCAGCGGCACCGACACCGAAGCCGGCCGCACCGGCAGCTGCGCCGGCCGCGCCTCCCGCACGTCCGGTTCAGGCTGAGCATTTTCGAAGTACAGCTTTCAGGTTTGCCAATGTCTGCTGACAGAGAGACGCTGTAGAGGCCGCGCCAGTGGCAGCCAAGCCGTTGGCGCAGCCCGAGGTTCGCGTTAATCTTGCCATGCCGTCCCTGGCAGACTATCCGCCACGCTTCTGCAAGCCGGTCCCTAAACCCCAACTCTGAATCAGTGCCAATACAGCAAGGACAGCAAGGCGAAAGGAGAAGCTGCATCCAAATCCTGTATTCTAAGCTATCTTGAGACCATTTAAGATCCAGAAGTGCGTTTGTTCGCATATCCGTGAAGCCAAGGCTGCCCGACAACAACTTTGCAGTCCGGGCCTCGTGGTTCTAGCGCCTGACAGCAGTCGGAGACAAGCAGAGCACCTGGTAGTCACGAGAGAAAGGACAGCAAGAGTAAGTTACATCCTGGCCTGACATTTGAATCGTGGCCAAGTTGCTACCACCACAATCGCCAACGCGCGCGACGTGCCAATTCTGTGCGTCACCAACACCACTCTAGATACACCCGCACCGCCACGACTCCGAGCCTGTCGCCATCTTGCATGCATCTAGAAGCAGTAGAAGCACAGCCCTCCAAGGATCCCATCTCCTCGGCAACCTTGATGGCTCAGCGCTCAGGGCATGAAATCTTCACAGCTCTTGAACACCTCTTCTCATGCAGATTGGCGATGGCATGTGCGGCTTTGCCAACATTGGCCGCCCGGCAGTCCGTCTCTCGGCTCTGGGCTCTTCTGTACTTGATCTCAGTGTTGCGGAGCTCTCTTCCAGGTCATGATCCTCTGAGCCCTTTCCGGCTGTCGCGGACATGAGCTTGCGACTGCCGCATCTCGCTCTGCCCGAATCCTGAGCCTTCACAGTGGGCAGGGGCTCGGTGCCTTCAGGCGAGGCGTGTCACCTGAACACCATGTTTCTGTTGCAGCGAAGACGTGGGGAGCTGGAACTTGAATTGAAGCTCCGCAGTGTTTCCATAGCGGATACTTAGATCTTTGGTCGGAGATTGTGAAGCACATGGATTCGGAAACCCGATGCGTATTTGCCAGTCTTCGGCTTGCCATGGTCGTTGGCATCAAGGTCATCGCAACAAAAGAACAGTCGCAATGGCAATCACAATCAAAATCAGACTCCAGTCCTCGAAGCTCTGCTAAAAGCAGATGCTTGGAGTGGGCGATGCAGATGAAAATCTTCGTCGCCACATCTTGCGCATAGTCCTGACTGTAGAGTGAGACTTCTGCCTTGCAAGAACGTACATGGTAGTAGCAGTGGGGAAAGTGGCAGTGAAGACTGGTAAGACTCGTCGTAAAAAAGCATGAATAGTATGAATATCCAGTAACTACCAAGTAATAAGAATAATGAGTAGTGGTAGTATAATCAGTAGTAATAGGAGTATAGAAGGCAGCAGTCGACTATGACGCACGAGCGAGTGAAGCGCCACTTCTGACAAGTAGCAAGAAAGCAAAAGGTCATAGTAGTACCAGTGACGAGATTGACAATAACAGTCTAGTTGTCACCATAGCAGGCATAGTAGTAGAGATACGAATCCCAACAATAATGTTGGTCGCAGGAGGAGGAGGTGGTCGTGGTGGTGGCAGTAGCTTTAAGAGTAGGACGAGAAGCAGTAGCAGTAGCAGCGGGAGGAGTAGCCGCAAGTAGCAGCAGGAGCAGCAGAAGTAGAAGTAGAAATAATGGCATTGGTAGTACTCGTCGTCGTAGTAGTAGTAGTAGTAGGTGGTAGTAGTAGTAGTAGTAGTAGTAGCAGTAGCAGTAGCAGTAGTAGTAGTAGTAGTAGTAGTAGTAGTAGTCGTAGTAGTAGTAGCAGCAGCAGCAGTGGCAGTGCTCAC